TATATATTAGTGCTCAGCTTGCCCAAATTGTTTACTCATAGGTCTTTAAATGTAGCTCCTGGGTACTTTTGATGTTTTGGTCATTTTTAAAAAAGCTTTTTACTTTAGGGTACAATAAGATGTTCTAGGTTGATCTTATACATTCTTGTCTTGGCCTAAAATCAGCTATTTCTCCAAGAAGGTCTGTATTATCTAAAGGGCCTAGGATAATATTTCAAAGTTCAGGCTCTGCCACTTGATCAGATTCTTTAACTGCTTTAAAATCTAGTTTTTACTTTGAAAATGGGAATTAAAATGGTACATATCTCATAGGGCTGTTGTGAGGATTAAATAGTTCACCTAGAGAGAAATACATGTTACCTATGAAATATGATATAAATGTTGCCTACTATGATTACATTATTATTCCCTCTTTTTCCTTTAACAGGATATTCTTTTAAAGAATTATTGAAGACGAAGTTTTTATTTTTGTTTGTTTTTAATGGCTTTTCAGAATCTTAAGTAGAATACAGTTTGGCATGATGACAAAAAATGTAAGTACTTATAAAATTTTTAATTGTTTTTTAAAATAAGCTATGCTTTTTCCCATACATGACTGTTTTGGTTAATCAAACTCAATTTATTGGCATGGATTTACAATTTTTTGTTTATGTAGAGTAGGAGATAAATTTTAATGCTGTTAATCCCAGTACTTTAAGGGACATGACAACATTCTTGTAAATTATCACCAACTTGTTCCCTCTCAACAGCTGCAAAATTGCTATCTCCAGAAAATTTCTCACCTGCCTCCTCTTTTGGGTACTGTAATGAATTAGTTTTGATATTTGCTAGAGACCTTATTGAGCAAGTCGCTGCCCTCTTCGGCTTAGTTTTATCCTGTGTACTTACTCAGGGAAGTGTGTATTTTCAGATGTCGTTCAGAAGAATCCTGTTATCTTCCCTGAGGTGGCTCGTGCAGGGACACTAGCTAGACTTCAGATGTTTTGGAGAAGTTAGTCAATTTTTACCCTGTGTTTGAGGATATAATTTCTTGATCTTCTTCAAGTATTTGTTTTCACTTATGGTGAAGGATTAAGCCATAAAATACAGTATAAAATACTGGGAGCTAATTTATTATAATTTATTGTTCACAGATTATTGTGTAGGAATGTTTGACTGGAAATTTAAAAAGTGTATTGTAAAGGTGCAGAGATGACTCAGGGAATTCGAGGGTAGGAATTTCACAGGCCCTGTTATGGATTGTGTCCAGATGTCTCCCCAAAGCCTCATGCAGTCATAGGTGGAGCTTTTTGGAAGTGGCTGGGTTTAGAGTATGTGATGCTGGGACTGATTCACTCTGGGAGGTTAGGATAAAGGATGCCGCACCCTGGGTGTGAGTGCTACCTGCCTAAGGGCGGTAGCCTCGATAGAATATAAGGGATAGAAAGAGGGCTGCTGCTGCTGTTGCTGCTTGTTGCTTACTGCTCCTGCTTCTTTTGTTACTTCACTGTTTTGCCTGCCACTAACTGTTTCTCCTCTGCCATGCCTCTGCCATGGAGCCAGCTGACTGACCTGAAACCTCCACGAACTGTGGGCTACAGTAAACCTTTCCGCTTTTAACTTTGGGGGTTGGGTATTTTGTCTCAGCAGTGAGAAAAGCAGCTAAGACAGGGCCCCAGAAAGACCTAGGCCTAGAAGCTGGCAGTGCACCAGGGATTGAAGCAGTACTTGGTTTCCGTATCTCATCTCGCTCTGTTCGTTGCTGTGCACCTGCTTCGTTTCTCCTGCTCCCCTTCCTCTGCAGGTCATCCTCCTTAGTTCCCCTGGTGCCCTCTCGGTTTCTCTGTCTGCCTGTTAAGGGGACCAGCCATTCAGAGGTGTGAAGGAAGGGAGGCAGCCTGACAGGTCCACTCTCAGCTTCCTTGGGGCGCGCCTCTGGCATACCTTGCATCGGATAGCTGGTCTGGGTAAATGTGACCGGGAGAAGCAAGTGTCACATTATATAGAGCGGCTATGGGTGGCCGCAACAGTGTGTAAGAAAGCATGATAAAAGACTTATTGTGAGTCACATAGCTCTAAATAGCACCTACTTTACACTAAAGCATAACATTAAGGGGAAAAACTTTATAAACATTATGGTATTCCCCCTTACTTGTGGTTTTGCTTTCCACAGTTTGCTAGTTACCTAAGGTCAACCATAGTCCAGAAATAATTAAATGGAAAATTCCAGAAATAAACAATTCATGAATTTTCAATTGTGTTCTACTCTGAATGGTGTGGTGAAATCTTGCACCATGCACCTGGGATGTGAGTCATCCCGCGGTCCAGCTTACCCGTGTGGTGTTTGCCACTGACCATGAGTTATGTAGCCGCCTGCCCAGTTCTCGCAGTGACCATTGGGTAGTGATGGCCCCAGAGTGCAGAGTAGCAGTGCTGGTGATTCAGCTGTGCCAGACTGTTGGAACTGCAAAGGTAGAAGTGGAGTAAGGGGGAAAAAAGGGGAGAGTAAGATAGAGACAGAGAGGGCCATACAGAACTTTTATCGGAGTGTACTGTTGCAGCTGTTCTTTATTAGTTATTGTTAATCTCTTATCTTGCTAATTTATAAGTTAAATCATCATCCATACGTATGCACAGGAAAAACACATTGGCATTGTCTGTGGTTTCAAGTTTCCACTGGGGTCTTGGAATGTATCCCCTGTGAGTAAAAGGGGACTCCTGTATCTGTGTTCTTATTCTGGGTTATAATTCAGAACTTTTGAACACACTTTTAACCTTCATTAGTAGCTACACTCAAGTACAGATTTTGTTTCATTCTCATTTAGCAGCAGCTGTCAGGATTTGTTGAGTAATTAGGATACAGCACCAACAAGAAGTTAAAGGAGACGTCTCAAAAAGAAAGAGACTTCTCAGCATCTGGCTTGTGTAACTGTGTGATAGCTATGTTGAGCAATGTGAAGAGGAACTCTCGAAGAGGTACCGGATCTTGTGGCAAACTCAGAAATTCTGTTTTGAACATATTAAAGTTGAGGAACCTAACAACATCCAGGTGGAGATACTGAGTAGACAGTTGGACCAAAGGCCCTGGGGCTCAGAAGAGCACTTAGAAATTTGGAGGCATCATATTAAAATTATTTTAAAGTAGTGAGACTACGTCTGATTACATAATGAGTGCATGGTGGAGAATACAAATGACCCAGGTCTGAGCACAGGACTTCTCCAACGTAAATGCAGGGAGAGGAGAAGCGGCAAAGGAAATACAAAGAATGGCAAGTAAGACAGGAAGAAATCGGTGTTATCCTGATAATCTAGAAGCCCACTGGATGGGGCTGGGGATATAGCTCAGCAGCACAGCGTCTGCCTAGCAAACGCGTGGTCATGAGTTTGATTCCCAGTACCCCCCAAAAAAACTAGAAGCCCACTGGGAAAAAAGTTTCAAAAAGGGCCTTATCATTTGTGTCCTGTGTTGGTAACAAGGGAGTGACTCACAGGTGTGGAAGATATTACCTTCTTGTGAGACTTAAATGTATATTCAAATATTTACATTTTTAATTTGTTTTTCACTTTACATTTCTCTGAGAACAGTTTTTATAAGGAGTAACTATTGCCTTATCCATGCTGTACTATTACTATGGTTGGAAATGATAAAAACCTTACTTAAAACAGTTTAAGGAGCCAGGTGTAGTCATGCACACCTATAATCCCAGCTACTCAGGAAGCTGAGGCAGGAGGATTGTGAGTTCAGGGCCAGCCTGGGCCACATAGCAAGATCCTGGCTGAAAACAAACGAAAAACAGCTCAAAGCAAGAAGTAGAATGTATAGATTTATATAATTGAAAAAGTTAGCCTACTGTGGTTTCAAAAATATCTGAATTCACTTGGGCATGAAATGATGGTGTCAAGGGCTCTTCCATGTCTTGGCTCCCTGCATAGGGATATAAAGGCCTCCGTGGCCGTTACACCTACCTTAGAAGAAGACAGGGAACTTTTGTAGTATTTATGCTTTAGGTTCCATGGAGGACGTTGGTAGAGCCTGCTTGGCTCACATGCTTAGACTTAGAGAAGGCCTGGCCAGGCCTAGGCCCACGTGCCCGTTCTTGCTACTGTGCACAGCTGAGCCTCTGAGTGTTAACATTCTTACCAGGACTGTGTAGGGTGTGAGGTGGGTCATTTGGTGAAAGGAAGAGATGAAGAGCTAGCAGTGCGTTCTTCCTATAAAGGGTAAAATTGTTACAGATAGTACATAGTATCTGATGATTGTCTTCTAAATAAAAGATATAGGTGTGTTATAATTTAAGCTTACCTAAGTATGCAAGGGAGAGTTTAAAATATACTAAAGTTTTTTTGTTCTGTTTTGTCAATGAAACTTTTCTTTAACACAAGCTATAATAATCATTACAAAAAACAGAAGATACAGAAAAAGAAAAGAAAAAAATTAATCGGGCATGGTGGTCCATGCTGTAATCTCAGCACTCCGGAAGGCTGAGGTACAAGGGTCACAAGTTTAAACCCAACCTGGGCAACTTAGTGACAGCCTGTCTCAAGAAAAAAAAAAGAAAGAGAGAAAGAAAGAAAGAAAAAAAGCTGGGATGTAGCTCAGCAGGAAGGTCCAGGTTCAAATCCCAGTATCCCCTCTACCCTCCCTCCCCATTAGCCTAGAGATTATTATCAAAATTTTTTGGAAAAAAATCTAGTGTATCCACTATATAACTATTTTACCACTTATATGTATCTTATAACATCATGTTATATACTTTAAATGTATACAATAAATTAAAAATTTGAAAAAGGAATACCTAAATGGAAGACTTTCTGCTGGGCCTGATTAAGCAAAAGATGTGACATGAAATATAAGTATACTTTTTCATGTTTAGTGAAATATAGATCCTTTTAAAATAAAGAATAGTTAATACCTTTAAATACCATTCCTAGTCAACATTTTCTACTTTCAAATAATATGCTGTTCTTTCAGGCTTTAAACTACAAAATATTTATGAGACTGAAGTGGATACATACTTTAAGTTTTTATTAAGTACATTTTGATAGTATTTATATAAGCTTTAAATACGTACTTTTCTTCTCTGTAGAGACCGAAGTTAGCAGTATAATATTGATTCTCAGTTGACCTTTATCTAAGTTTTTCGGTATAATTTGTTGTTTACTAAGGTGCAGCTGCTTAAAAAGTGTGTGAATGTTTGCTGTTTCCCTCTGCAGAAGTTGGACGCAAAGAGCAGGTGTATAAGCATAGCAGTAACGCAGTAACGGTTCATTCTCTGCTGTGAGCATGTGGTTTTAGTTGAGGTTTTTTGCTGTTATTGTCATATATTAACAAAAGATAGGAAGTGATCTTTTTGGAGTTATTCTATGTATTAAATGGTCACGTTACATCAAGCATGGAATGAATATGTTAAAGGCTATTGTTGCCTGTGTTGCATTCTTTTTGAAGTAGGATGCAGACTTTTGTCTTTCTCTTCTTTTTATAGCAGAATAATTTAAGCAGGAGGGGAGCTTTTGATTGATTGATTGAGGTGCTGAGAATTGAATCCAGGACCTTGCCACTGAGCTACATCCTCAGCCCTTTTTAGTTTTGATTTTGAGACAGGGTCTCACGAAGTCACTGAGCTGCCCAGGTCTGGCTCATACTTGTGACCCTCCTGCCTCAGCCTCTCAGAGTGCTGGGTGTGCACCACCACGCCTGGCACAAAAGTGGGGAAACAGTTCAGTAATGACAGTACACTCTTCAGCAGATGTTCCACCAATTGAATATTTAACATTAGCATTTGTGAGCAGTTTTGGAGTCATAACACATGGTTATTTGTTACAAACTGATACTGTACTTGAAGAAAGTAGACAAAGCTGTTTCTGCATCATTATGTATAAGCTAATAAAATTATTTCTAGATATTTTAATTAATTAGCTAATTTCTAATAAGCTAATTTCTAGCTATTTTAGTCTCAGCTATTGCCATAAAAATTTAGTAGATTCCATTTATCTAATATCTATCGCATCGGAATTAATTCTATTACGAGTGATATCTAGAAACATTTCTGGTGATACACCTCTCCGCAAAAAGCAACAGCTTTTAGTAGAGCATTGACTATGTAATGAAATAATTAGCTCTTATATTTTGAAATTGTAAAGTATCAAATAAATGCTTAGGAAGAATAAATAATATAAAATAATAAAGTTTTAGAAAATACATGTGCACAGATAGGAAGTTCTACAGCTTTGTGTGCTTTATAGTCTCCAGATGACTGGAGCTCTGATGTAAAGCACGGTGGCAGTAGTTTAAAATACTGTGTTATACACTTGAAATCTGCTGTGAGAAGGTTTTTGTTTTGCACTTGTGGGATCAGACGCGGCCTTGCGCTTGCTCTCCCACTGCGGTGCTCCCTGTTCCCGGGTGGATCTTCAGTCTCACACACAGACGTCTGTGTAGAGATGACAGATACGTCAGCTAGCTTGGTTATGGTGATCATTTCATAATGTAAACACGTATCGTTTTGTTTTGTTTTTGGTACATGGGAATCGAACTCAGGACCTCACGCTTGTCAGGCAGGCGGTTATGCCGCTGAGCTGTATTCCCGGCCCATAAACACCTATCAAATCATCTACTCATATACCTTAAATATATATCGCTTTTATATGTCTGCGATCCCTTAGGAATGCCAGTTTTTAAGAATCCTTTCAGTGTGGTAGTACCCTGAAAGGATGTTTGAGATGCTAAAGTAGAAACTTGTTATTTTATAAGCTTGTGATATTTAAAGATTATAAGTCTTCACTGGGTAAAACAGTCTCGTAGTAATAATAGAGCCATTTATTGCGATTGGTAGTGTGCCAAGTTTTCAGAAACGGAGAGTTTGTCTCCCTCTTGGAGCCATAGCAAATTTTTAATTCTTCATTTATAACAGCACCATAGTCAGCTGTGATGCCAGGTAGTCCTATAGACATTATATTAAATGAAATAAATGATCTTAAAAGTGAATTTATAAACACATATGCTATTAAAAGTCCCTGAAATATAATACTAGCTAGTAATGAAAGTTAATGTAGACTAGAGTATATGCTAAGGATCATTCTGTGTACTTTGAGTTATTGCAGTTAATCTTTGTTTAACAGTCTGAATTGGTAAGTACTGGTGTAATCTGATATGCGGATGAAGAAGTTGTATGACCTGACCAAGGCCCCACACCTTCCTGAGCCAGAGTGTGAACCCAAATAATTGGTTCAGTTTAGCTTTGTGGTAGTGATGGTCCTTAGTTGGTTCCTTACATGTCATAGTGTCTGTCAGAAAGCACTGTAGGACGGGGATATAGCTCAGCAGCACAAGCGCCTACCTGGCAAGTGGAATGTCCTGAGTTCAATTCCCAACACCAAAAAAAAGGAAAGCATTATAGGTAATGATTAAGAACATTAAAAATTAATGGCATTAAATAAGGGTGGTCATTTTTATTTTTTGTGTTAGTGGAGATTAAACTCAGGGCTTCACAGATGCTAAGCAAGTACTCTGTCACTGACCTGCAGCCCCAGCTCTGAGGATGGAAAGTGTGTGTGTGTGTGTGTGTGTGTGTGTGTGTGTGTTGCTAGGAATTAAACAGGGCCTTGTGCATGCTAGGCAGGGTCTTTGCTATGGAGCCACCAGTTTTTATTTATTATTATTATTATTATTATTATTATTATTATTACTTTTTAAACAGTCTCCCTGTCTAGTTCAGGCTGGCCTTGAACTTACTATGTATCCCAGACCAGCCTCAAACTCACAGCAGTCCTCTTGCCTCAGCCTTCTAGAATTACAGGTTCTGCTAGAATTACAGGTATGCACCACCATGCCTGGCTCCTTTTTTTAAAATTTGAGGAAAGGGTCTCCCTAAATTTCCTGGGCTCATTAGGAACTTGTGATCTTCCTGCCTCAGCCTATAAAGTAGCTGGGATTACGGGTGTGTGCCAGCCACCATACCCAGTTTAATTAATTCACCTTTTTTTTTTGTACTTGGAAGGCAGCTATGCTAACCACTATACCACCAACGCTTTTTTTTTTTTTGCTTGGAATCAAACTCAGGACCTCACATTTGCCAGACAGGCCCTGTGTTACTGAGCTATATCCGTGGCCCAGTTAATTCACTTTTGTGTGCCTGTGTATAGCATTAGATACCGGCCTCTGGTGGAAAGTATAAACTAGCTTATGAAATGATCCCATAAACTTTAAGATGCTATTTTTAATTTTTAAAACTATTTTATTCAGGTTGGTTTGACTTCCACAAATACAGAACTGAGAGGATTTATAGATCAGAATCTCAGTCCAACAAAAGGTAAGCAATAAGTGAATTTTTTTGAATTTTTGTATTATCTCATTTGTTTTGTAAAATATGCAGCTACAAGAATTACTTTATGTGTAATAATATTAATTTGTTGTCATATACCAAATAACTCATGTTTGTATGAACATCACCACTGAGATGTGGAGCAGTTTTGCATGACTTTTTTAATATCTCTTTGCCTAGAGGTCTCCAAGATCTTTCATCATTGATCTTATTACAAATGAAAATATTCATACTACTTTTCTTGTAATTTTCTTGTTTCAGAGTCCTACTTTGATGTGGTTTAACTTGTAAGGAATTGTATTAAACAAAAATTATATACTTGTGTTTTTTCTATGTATTTTTAGTTGTCATACTTGGTTATGGTAAACAGTGACGTCACATATATAATCACTCTGTGTTGCTTGCTAGTTTTTTTAAAAGGAATTTTGAGTCTGTATTCATAAAATATTTGTTGTTGTTGTTGTTGTTGTTGTTGTTGTTGTTGTTGTTGTTGTTGTGTGTGTGTGTATGTGTGTGTATTTGTCTTTTTGAGACAGGATCTTGCTGTGCAGTTCAGGCTGGCCTTGCGCTCACTTTGTAGCCCATGCTGGTCTCGAACTCACAACAATCCTCCCGCCTCAAGCTCCTGAGTGCTGGGATTACAGGCGTGCGCCACCATGGCTGGCTGTTGTTTTTGAGACAGGGTCTCACTATGTATTCCAGTCTGGCCTTGAGCTCACTGTGTAGCCCAGGATGGCCTTGAACTAACAGTAACTCCCCTGCCTCAGACTCCCTAATGCTGGGGTTGCAGGTACCATACCTGGCTATAAAGGAATTTTTTTTGGGAAGTGGTCTTTTTGAGATAGATTCTTACTGTGTAGTTCAGGCTGGCCTTCAACTCATTTTATAGCCCAGGCGGGGCTCAAACTCTCAATAATCCTCCTGCCTCAGCCTCCTAAGTGCTGGGATTACAGGGGTGCGCCATCCTGCTCTGAATTTTTAAGGTTTTATGAATGTTTGGATCCACATTGAATACATATATCCTATGCAGTGGCACCTCGGTTCACATACTTGATTCTTTCCGTGATTCTGGTTACAAACCAAGTTGGATGAGAGCAAAATCAGATTCAGAGTTAGGTTCAGTGTTGACATTAAGGGGAAATTTGATTCAGTTCTCTTCCAGTTCAGTTTTGCAACCAGAATGGTGAAGAGAATTGAGTTTGTGAACCAAGGTACCACCGTGTGTGTGTGTGTGTGTGTGTGTGTGTGTGTGTGTGTGACTAATACATGGTTTGCTGGGGGTGCTTATGTCCAAAATCTGATACACCAGCATTAGAGCTTCAGGAATCAGCAATATCTTTTGATACTCAGTGTGTAGGGATACACGTGGAAATGTTTATGGATGAAATGTTGTAATGTCTAGCGTTAGCTTTAAAATAGTCTATTGGAGGAAGGGTAAAGTGAACGGCATTAGAGATAAGCACGTTGTTTGTAATCTGACTGATTACACCGAGTGATGGCTCTGTGAGGTCTCATTTTTCCTTTTTCCTTTGTGTGTCTTTGAAAGTTTTGATTATAAAGGAGAGGAACAAAATTATTCCATTGCAGTACAAACAGCTGTGGAAAAAAACCAAAGGCTTCCTCCAAAGGTTATGTCTGACGCAGAAGTGGAGAGACTAGAGAAATCTGTGCATTAGTATGAAATGTCTCACTTAGTAATATTAATGGTCTATAGGAATTCTGTAGGAGTTTGAGTATTGTGAAGCCACTTAAAAGGTATTTTAGGCCTTGATACTTTTCAGAATTTCTTTGGTAGCCGAGAAGCAGAGAGTGAGGAAGTGGCCGGGGATGAGGCACTCTCTTCCACGCTCAGCTTCCAGTTACCATTTCCTTCATTGGGCCTCTGCCTGCTAAGAGCCCGTTCAGCTGTGAAATCAGGACTGGATTAATCCGTTGATGAGATTTGCACTCTCATGATCCCCCTGCCAAAACTGAATCATGAGCCTTTGGGGGCACTTTGTTTTTCTGGTGGCCCTGGGACAGAACCCTAGGACTTAGTGGTTTTCAACCCTGCGTCTTAGATTTATTGCAGAGAATCTTACTTACATCTGTAGGGTGAAGCTGTAATCATAGAGTACAAAGTCATTTCAAAGTGTTACTAAAGCTTCACGTATCTTCCTCAGTCATCATTCTAGGGTTGTGCGTTGCCATGTAACTCTGCATAGTTTTTTTGTTCTGTTTTGCTTTTGAGACGGGGTCTCCCTCTGTAGTTCAGGCTGGCCTTGAGCTCACTCTATAGGCCAGGCTGGCCTTGAATTCATGGTGTTCCTTCTGTCTCAGCCTCCTGAGTGCTAGGATTATAGGCAGGCATTGCCACCATGCTTGGCATGCATAGTTTTTCAGATTGTCACATAACAATCATACTTGAAAATACTGAGAATCAGTGTAATATTATAACAGCATTAAAAAGACCATGTAACAATACAGGAAAATATATTGCCTTAATTTTGTATATTAGAATTCAATCTTTTTTCTTTATACTTTTGTTGTTTTTCTTTGAAGTTTTTAATGAGCACATATAACTTTGCTATTAAGGGAGAAATCAGCCAAAAATTGCCCCTCCCAAGTATCTACATCTGAGGACAAGGACAGGGGGAGGTGGAAACTGTTCAGTCCTGAACAAGAGCTCCCCAAGAGGTGTACATATGCCCCTTTTTCACCCCCACTTCCCATTGAGCTACTGTATTGCTAAAACTCAAGAGGAGCTCTAGGTCCTCCACTGAAGTTAGCTTCACTCTGTCTAACTGATACATTGGGATTCCTTGGAAGATTTACCTAGAAGAAGAGTTCTGTTAAAACTAACAGGATGTGTGGGAAGCCTGTAAACATGTCTACTTAGTCAGTCAGACTGCTGTCCCAGCACTCTGCAGTACCTGGATGAATACCTTCCCTGTTACACCAAATGGCCAGTCACCAAATCTACTCTTTGAATTAATTGACAGCTGGCTGTGATGGTACGCACCTGTGATCAGTCCCAGCCTGTGGAGGCCTAGACAAGTTCTCACCCAACCTGGACAATTTAGCAGCTTGGTGAGACCCTGTCTCAAAAAGAGGATGGGGCTAGGGATGTAGTTCCAAGCTCAGTGCAAAGGCCCTGGGTTCAATCCCCAGTGCTGCTAAATAAACAAGTAAATACATGCGTGCAAACATAATATTCATATCTTGATTTCTTAGTCCTCTTCCTCTCCCTCCTCCTTTACTTTCTGTCCCCCCATTCCTGTCCTTTCCTCTCCCTCTTCCCCAGGGTGGAACCCAGGGACTCCCACATGCTAGGCAAGCACTTTTAACACTGCTGCAGCGGCATCCCCAGCCCTTGTAGTTCTTCCCCCTCCTTTTGCCGTATCTTCTACCCTTGTCCTTTTCTACTTGGATTTAGTAGTAACTTTGGGTATTTACAGCCACTTTCTCTGCAGGATTACCTCCACTCCTAATTTTGCCTCCACTCTACTGCTGTGATACTAACCCCGGGCCCCGCCACTTCTTACTGAGCTACATCCCCAGCGCTTTTTAATTTTTTGAGACAGTCTTGCTAGCTACATTGCTGTTTCCCGGGTTGGGCTTGAACTTTTGATCCTCCTGCCTTAGCCTCCCTAAGTGCTGGGATTGTAGGCATCCACAACACTGGGAGGCTGAGACAGGAAGATCCCAAATTCAAGTCCAACCCAAGCAAGTTAGCACTTAGCACACCCTGCCTAAAAAGTTCAAAAAATGGTAGGGTTGTAGTTCAGTGTGTAGGTCCTGGGCTCAATCCCTCCCCTGCCCACATACACACACACACACAGAGTCAATTCCAATGTCATCCACCTGGAGATAGTATCAGATCTCAGATCTGACCTCAGCAGATCCATGACACTGTGCTTTATTTCAGATGCTACTTGAAGTCCCTAGATTGTGACATGTACTTTTGACTAACTGGTGGGATTCTCCTAACTCCCTTTTGCGTTAGACTGATTTGCTAGAATATGGAACGGTTCATGGTACTCAGGGAAATACCTTACTTAACAGATACTGCAGGCTACAGTTTAACATCTAGATGAAGAGACAGATACATGAGATGTGGCAGAATAGTTCTGAACACAAGGGTTTTTGTCCCAGAAGACGTGGGATACACCACCCTCCTGGCATGCTGGTGATTGCCTGGACTCTCTCTGAACCCCATAGTTCAGGCTTCTTTGTTTATTTATTTATTTTTTGTCTTTTTTTTTTTTTTTGGTTTTTCTCCGGTACCGGGAACCGAACTCACGACCTTGCGCTTGCCAGGCAGGTGCTTTTGCCGCTGAGCTAAATCCCCAGCCCCTTTTTTTGTCTTTTTGAGACAGGGTCTTCCTATGCAGTTCAGGCTGGCCTTGAGCTCACTTTGTAGCCCAGACTGGTCTCGAACTCTCAACGATCCTCCTGCCTCAGCCTCCTGAGTGCTGGGATTACAGGCGTGCGCCACCATGCCCGGCCAGGCTTGTTTTTTTAATGGAGATGTCATCACATAGGCACAGTTACTAATGAACTGTTTGCAGCCCCTGTTGCGTCTCCACTCAGTAGTGGGACTGAAAGCCCAGGCCTCTAATCATGGCTTGGTCTTCCTGGGGACCAGCCTGCATTTAGGAGCCCACCAAGAATTAATTACCCGTTAGAGCGAAGTCGTTCCTGTCTTCCAGGAAATTCCAAGGGGCTTAAGAACTTTGTGTCAGGAAGTGGGGTCAAAGACTAAATATTAGAAATGAAGATTCTCCTCGCACTCTGATCTACAAGAGTCAGGAACTGCGGCGGACAGCAAATATTAGAACAAAAGATTGTCTGAACACCCGTATTGATCAGGAAGTTACAAGAACTTCAGGAGCTCTGTCTGAGGAACTGCGTCACAGGGATTCTTCTTGGTACCTGAGAGGGATTGGTTCTAGGAACCCTTGTAGAAGCCAGAATCTGTGGATGCTCAAGTTCCTTACATAAAATGG